ATTGAAAAATAAAAATCTGTAATTAAAATAATATTTACCTAACCTGTTAATATGTTAACTTATATTTAGATATACTTTCTCTTTTGTTGTTCTCTAATGATCTCTCTCCAAATTCAAGCACATTCCCCCAACATTGTTCACGGATCCTAATGAGATTGCCCAGTATTTGCCTGTCAAAGAAAATATTTGTGAGAAGCTGGAATTTCCTGAGAACTCATGCCAGGAATCTGCAGCTGCACCTGAAGGCACTTAATGAGATCGGCATAATCTGATGAACTTGATATAGACCCTGTTCTTATCTTCTTGGCCCTTAGCACTGAAGATGCTGGATGAAGATCTGTCTGTAGGCCTGGCTAAATGTTCTCTAGCCTTGGGTGGGTGAAGCTAACTTGGAAGTTTTTCCTGTACTTTCATTGTGTCTGTTTTGAATATGCTCTGATCTAATAGAAAACTGCCGTTACTGATATTGGAGAGTAAGTCCCCAAATAAGGATCAGTTATATTAAAGTATGCAACATTTCAAGAAAGACTGCACAGATGTTCAAAAATCAAAACAAAATAAGAGTCCTTCACAAGCGCAGTAACTTTTAGGGATGCTGTTTTAACATAGTCTTTTGTTATAAAAGGACTTGTGTTTCATATAGTGTGAAAGAGAATAATTATGTTTCTTCTCTAGGTTAAATTTGATTACTTTGTTGAGGATCATTGATGCTTGATCAGTTCATGAAATTTAATGTATATTGAATGATATTGTTAATCCTCATTTACTTGCTGCCTGTCTTATCAGATACAAGCTTTGTTACCTTCTAAACAAAGCTAAATCTTTCATAAATTGTAATCAAACAAGCTACATAAGTACAGATAACAGGATCCATTTTTGCCCGCTTCCTACCATTCTGTCATAAATTAGATGTTAATATGGTATCACAGATTGAAATTGTTAATGCTCCTTGTCAACCTGAAGTTACCTCCTTTTAAAAATATTGCAAGTTTATATTGATTAGATTGTTAACAAAAATTAAATTCTTATAATATTTGTAATAGAATATGAAGTATTAATATTGGGCTATTGCAACTAGGACAGACATGGATACTTTAAGCTACCAGTATTTTTGATAAAAATGATTGCACATATATTTATAAAATAGTTACCAAACTGCACCATTCATATATTTCTTAAAGAAGATAAACTGAACTGTTGTAGAGAAGTTGTTTCATCCGTTTATTTCTAAAATTCATGTTCAGTTCTTACAATAGTCCCTGCTATTTTTTGGCAACAGGCAAAATAATATTTGAGATTTTGGTGATAACAGAATAATAAATTTTAGGTTTGTTTTTATATATTATAGACTCATAAAAATCTCAGTCTGGTACATTACAAATATATACATTTCTCTGATATGATTTTTCTTATCTATTGCCTCAAGGGAGAAGAATTTGAAAATCAATGATTGCTTGTTTGTCCTTTTTTATTCTGTGTTTCAAATTTCTAAAAAAAATTCTTGAAAAAGCCAAATAGCTAACACTTTTCAGAATTACTAAGATAAGACGCTCTAATTCAGTGTCCACAAATTGCATTGGACCTTATGCAGTGTGTTAAGAGTAAAGATGTATAGGATAGGTTCTGGGTTTTTAAAGCCTTACCTGAAACAGCATTGTATGTTTACTACTTTAACATACATGCATAGGTAAGAATTCAGTCAGGCGGGCATTTGGTTTGCTCTGAAAAATGATTATGTTTTTCCAATACATATGTTGACTCCAGAATTTTTAAGAAAAGTACATTAATCCTATATCTTGAGACAGCTTCAATTGTTTATACTGCATAGCTATTCATGATTGCTGGTCGTATAACAAAATAGAACTGATAATTAGACTACAAAAGTTATTGGGATAAAATAGGAGAAGAAATAAGAAGCAAAAAGATTTGAAAAGCAAGGCCAAACAACACATTTATATTGTAGACAAATATAAAATTAGTTATATTGTAATATTTCTTTCAAGAAGCTAAATTTATTTTATTCGTCATATAACAAATATACAATATTGCATATAACTATCAAATTCAGACCAGAGAGGGAGAGAAAACTGGATCCTTATTCCTGTATCATGCATGTTCTACTTGACATTTAACAGTAGTGAAATCTCCTGTGTGGGATTTGTTCTTGTAAACATTTCTTTGTGAAATTAAGCAAATTCATACCTTCAAAAGGTACAATATACCATCAATATTTACAACTTTGAAGTTAATGGGAGCTATATTGTACACCCCTTCATTTCAATAACACTTGTGCAGAACTATTTACTAAAATTGTACTCGTCAGCATGAAAAAGGCTTATATTGTTTAGTCAGAAACATGTAATGGTTTGTGTTCAGTCACAAAATAAAAAAGTTGCATTTAGCATCTCACTTTCATTTTAGATATTTCAATAAGAAAGGCTTTTTATAACTTAAAAAAATATTTTCTTCAATTTGATTTTCTTCAGATTTGTTGGCATGTAATTCTTGTAATAGAGAACCAGTTTGATGTAATGGTTAAAGCATCAGGCTAGAAACTGGGAGACATGAATTCAAGTCCCAGCTGGGTGACCTTGAGCTGGTCACTTTCTGTCCATGCTAGGAAGGAAGCAGTGTTAAACTACTTTTGGGAAACTGCCAGGAAAGCTGTAGGACATGTCCAGGCAGTCTCTGAGAATTGCACACAATGGCATGGAACAAAAAAAAATTCTTGTAATAGTGGGGTTGATCTGACTTGCTTCCTTGGCTGTCCATGGAGAAGAAACTCTTAACTCACAAACTTCTAAGGGTGATGATCAATATTATTTTGCTCAATGGATATTCTCAACAAGTCTAGACAACTTGGTGGAAAGTCAGTGATGGGGAAGACCATACATTACTGCTAATCCATACCTTAATTCCAGAATGGTATTCCATTCCTGGTTTGTCCATTATTTCACCCTGCTGGCTAGAGTAGAATGGAGTTTAATATCCTCTGGAGAACTCTTGCTTAATTGTAGCTAACCTTCTTCAGGACTGTCAAACTTTCAGCCTGCAGACAGGATGCATCACATGCTGGCTACACCCACGCCCGGTTTAGTGAAGGAAGAAAAAGTCCCGATGTGTGAAATGATGCCGCCCTGACAAAGCAAGTTTGGCACCCCGTTCTAGTTCAAATAGTTATTGATAATTTATACTGTACAATATGTTAAGGTAAGTTACAATAGGAATGGAAAACCACCATGGTTATTTCTCCCATACACAAGTCATGAATATACTGTATAATTATGCTAGAACTATTGTTTACCTCGAGGAAAACTCACCAGTATCATTGATTCAAAACCTTGGGTGTTGAAGGGATTCAATGGGATTTCAGCTACACAGTTGTGTTTGAATATTGAAAGTATTGCAAACATTTATCTATTTTCCTTGGACTCAATTTTCAGATAAAATTGAAGATAAAAACAGATAAAAACATGAAGAGACTCCATAGGAAAAATCCATTCTGTGTGGGTACAGAATATTAAAGTATAAAAAGCTAAGAATGGCTTAGTGACTGTTCTTTCCTTCAATATGACATAATAAATATGAATATGTAAAAATAACAATAATGTTGCCTTAGAGTCTAACCTTATTGATAATTTATTGGATAATGCAGCCATTATTGTGATTGTCAGTAAAGCAGAAAAGTTTAATATTGCAGCAGTAATGGTGTAAATTTTTGATGCTGGTAGTCTCACTAAATAATAATATACCGGTTGATGTGACCTTCACATTATTCCCCTTCAGGGTAAATAATGTTAAACAAAGTACAGGAAAAAAAATAGCAACTGCTTTCTGTAGTCCTGTCCCCTAATGTCCTGTCCCATTGCCTTTCCAGCAATATTTCCTGCCAAACAGAAGCAAAGCCCTTTTCTATATACCTGCTCTGATATATTTTTAATATGGCACTTTAGTTCCACCAAATCTAAGCCATTTCTATAATTACAAAATCATCCTAATAATTGAAACCTAAAATGTTTCATTTTTTTTTCAATTTTGAGAAAAGTCAAAAAAAGTTTCTTAAGTAGAAATAAAAACTAAAACAGTCAATTTTGCCATCCCTTCTAACTCTCATCTTTACCATTCATTTTTCCACTGTGAGAAGTGTGTGTCTTTTCATCTTTGTAGTAATATTAAGATTCTTGCTGCTGTAAAAATAGATAATAAAATTCCAAATTTTCTTTCTAGTTGTTTATCCATCAAGCTTCTGTTTCACTTTATATTTATTTTAATAATCTTCTGAATTAAAGATTCAGTAACAGATTCAGAATAACAGGATGGGATTTTGGAAATCTTCTAGTCCAAAGTTTTCAAACTTGGCAAGTTTAAGACTTGTGGACTTCAACTCCCAGAATTCCTGAGCTAACATAACTGGAGGAGGAATTCTCGGAGTTGAAGTCCACAAATCCTAAAGCTGTCGAGTTTGAAGACCCCTGTAATCTAACCCAACCCCCTGCTCAACCCTATATCATTCCAGGCAAATGGCTTTCCAATCTCTTAAAAAGATCCAGTGGTGGAGAATCCACCACTTTTGGAAGCAGGCAGTAAAAATTGGATCCCAGAATTTTTTGTTTTTTTGTTTATCACAGGTGCATCAGATATGATCAAATGTATCCTTTTTACAGTTGTACTTCCAATATTCCCTTATACATATTTGACAATTTCTAACAGTTCAATTTATTCTCATGCGTTCTTCCATCTACAGCTCTCACTGCATTCTGCAATTAATCTTCAAGTCATATAAAACATAAAGCTTATTCTCAACGTCAGCAACTGTAAGATGTGTAAACTCCGGCACTTAGAATTCACCTGCTAGCATGCTGGGAGTTGAAGTCCACACATCTTACAGTTGCTGACGTTGAAAAACACCGAGCTAAACGTGTGAAGAAAAACGCCTCAAGACTAAAACTTCTACATGCGTAAGTGGGAAATTTCTACCCCAACTACATTTCCCGACTTGCATCGCAGCGGCGGGACGGGATGAGTAGTTCTGAAAGGCACCTGGCGGAAGCCTCTGAATGTTCTGTTTGCTGGGAGTTGTAGTCTTGCGAAGCTAGAGAAGGTTGATTGATGCGGGTGGAATCAACATAGGAACTGGCAAAACTCGGGAGTGCTTGGACCAGGAGGAATGGATAAATTAAAGCGAGTTCTCAGTGGGCAGGACGCGGAGGACCCTGGACCTTTGGCAGAAGTAAGCTTCTCTTTATTTCAACAGGATAAGGCGATGCCAAGTTACCACTTGCGTCGTCTTCTTCCGTTTAGGCTGTGTTTTCTTTGGATTTCTCCTTTGTCTGTTTCATCGTGTTTTGCTGCTCCTGTCCACCGCCAATGCTCCGTGTAGTCTCCCAAGTGTGCTCTTTCTGTCCACCCGCCTCCTCCTTTTCTTTTCCCAGAGATGTTTCAGAGTCTGTTTCTTACTTCTTGATACTGACAGCTTTTCTAATTAGGCTAGCAGCATATATGATTTACATTATTCCAGCGACCACAGTCGTTCTGGCTGAGTTTGGTGAAAGTTGTAATCTAAAACCTATTTACAGATGTCATTCTCTTCATTCTGCGAAGTTCTTGTGCTTTTAACTCTAGTGTGATCATCCTAATTTTGAATAAAGGCACTGTGCCCCCCCCCCCCCCCACACACACACATTATGGCTGTATTAGCAGGATGTACTTGAGTCATTAATAGTCACCTTTTAGTCTACTATGCTGAGTAAACATTTCTCCGGTTAGTTTATGGTACTGTATAGTGTAAATCCAGAAAAATGTGAAGGAATCTTGATTAGGGTAAACATGGATGAGTAGTATGTGCACACCTTTCTGTCAGTGCTTGAGTATTTACTTGTTTCGTTATTACACTTCCAACATTTTTAGCTTTTGACTCTGTGTGTGTGTGTGTGTGTGTTAGAAAAAGAAAGACAAGAATTGTTGCTCCTTAGTTTTAGAAAATTTGCCATTTCTTCTTTGGTACTTTATTTTGGTGAAATGAGTATCTTTATAGTTTCGTAAGTACTGAAAATGTATAAACTCCCATTTTGATAGATATTATGGCTAGAGAATTAAAAAGAGTTTTTAAATTTTTACCACATTTAAAATATGTCCCAGATATACTAAAGAGGTATCTGAAGCACTAAAACAGGATAGGATCTCAGGGGACGAAATTATGAAAAGGTTGTACCAGTAACAAGCAAATCACTCTGAGCAGTATTGACAAAGCACAAACACATAGGAACAAACAACAACAGGTTTGCAACTTAAATTGGTTATGAAAGTTATGGCTAAATTTGTGGTTTGATTACTAAGGGGAGTTAAAGCCAGTGTGGAGCACTGATTAACCAGTTTGACTGCCATTTGCAAAACCAGATTTGAGTCAGCCTTCAGCTTTGGAAGCATAGTAAATAGCTTTGGGCAGTCTTATATGAAGGGCCACAGATCTTTTCATGGCAGGAATTAGAAATGAGTAGTATTTAAAAAAACACAACAGCTTTATTTTGGACTACTTCAAAATACTGTACATTTATACAGTACATTTATTTACTACATTATTAGATTTATATCCTACATATATATGTACAATTCAAAGTGATGTACGCTGCTGCCTCCTGTTTTCCCCACTGCTCTATCTGGAAGATATTTTATTTTTCAATTAAAAATGAGAAACTCCAAAAACTTATTTAGCAGGTAGCTTCTAGTATTATAAAAACATGGTTTTAAATTTAAGCTAAAAACTAAAACTAGCAGTGATTGGGCATAACATATAAGAAGTAAAATAGCAGAAAGAGAGTAATTTAATGAACGTTGGTACTGTATAAATGTTAAAATGTTAATCTGATAGCTTATGAGAAAGCGAAAAGAAAGAAAATCCATGCAACAATGGAGAATATTTTAGAACTGAGAAAGTCACTAGTAAAAAAAACCTCAGCCAAATGTTACCACCCCTTAGTATGGATGAAACTTAAATGGAACCATTTTAATTTTAAAACATTTTAAAGAAGTTAGATACTTCCTTCTGTCACTAAGCTGTTAGGGAAAAAATACAAAGCAACAGCTACTATGTTGCTTGACATTGATGTTTGCTTATTAGAAAACTAAACAGAATCTCCTTGTTAATGCATAGGAGGACTGGGCACTGTTGGCTGAACTGGGAAACTGAAAAACAATCCTGGAAGAGGACAGTGGCAAAACTCTGCATAATGCTGCCAAAAAAGCTTCATAGATGCATTCACCAAGAACTGAATTGATTTGTCAGCATCCTTATTTTACTTTTAATATTTCCAGATAGCTGATGCAACTTCCTTAAGCTGGAGTACCAGATTGAAGGCCTTCATAGCTTGTTTTATAATAGGAGTTGTGTGTTCTGTTATGGTAAGTCTTTAATTTAATTTCTTCTATTCTTATCATAAAATTCTGCTCTTTTGGTACACTTATCACCTGCAGTACCAATACTTATTTTCAACTGCTTGTTACTGTACATGGATATACCCTAACTGAAGTACAACATGTGTTTTGACTGAATGGATTTTGATTTATTCACCATATAATTTTATATGAGTTGAATAGTTGCAAACCCTATGCATGTGCATTGAGATATAAGAATTCATATATTTTCAACTTTTCTAATTTAACTTAGAACAGCACAATTTCTAGGTTTAGGACTACCTGCAATCTCTTAAACAAGAATTCATCCAAAGGTTGCTGTGAAATCAGTTTAATCTGACAAAAGAGAAAAATAAGGATTGGATAACACTGACACACAGACACTTACACCGACATACCCACACACACTCGTATAACTTTTAGCCTTTTCATTAATTCATCCTATAGCCTAGTTTCTATGCATTTATTCATGAGTTCCACTCTACAAAAGCAGACCACAATCAAATATATCCTTGATGTTTTTCTTATTTTTAATGCCAAATATCTTTTTTCTTTCTTTCCACTTTCGTTTTATTCTTTTCTACATTCTAAACTACAATTTACCACATAAAATAGTCAAAACTTGCTTATTGAAACAAAAAATAAATTGTAGTTCAGTGAGTGTACTCACAAGTAAGTATACTCTGCAGTATACCATCTTGGCATATTTTTTCCTAGCCAAACCATACCTCTTCATCTCTTGAAGAAAACTACATTAATTGCCAAATAATTGACTGTAAAGCATGAATCAGAGGCTGCCTGCAGAATTCTTCTGTTCAGCCTCCTAGAGACTCTTTTCCATTTCCTCCCTGTTTGTGATTGCTGATCAGGGCATCTTCTGTGTCCATGGGGACACAGTCCATGTACTCAAAGCCAAGTTCCCTCTCCACCCAGTTGTACATGCTGTTTTGGCTGAGCAAGGATTAATATTCAAGAAGTTTGAGTTTGTTATTAATATGAGAATTGCTCCCTCTGAAAACAGGACTGTACATTATACATAGTAATGTTGTCTGAAGTTGTTTTATTTGAATATTTAGTGCTTTAACAAACAGACTCTGAGAATCAATAAGATAATTTGAATTTAATAACCCCTTATACTCTTACCTACAGGACAATATAAACATTTTTTACAGACTTCTTATTTCGTTTTCTCTCTTTTAGGGTTCATTTCTGCTATGGGTTCCCAAGAAAGGACCTATCTTGTTTGGAGTATTTTACACCCTGGGGAATATCTCCTCCCTTGGAAGGTAAATGATTCTTATTTTGAATTTGTAGATGATAAAATACTTTCAAATGCGTTAATGAGATTAGCATTAATAATACTTGAAATACATAACTCTACATAATGCATACTAATTTCTGCTGATTAAGTCAAAATATTTTTATTCTATATATTTGTTGAAGGTTACATTAATCTTTTTCTTCTGCAGTACCGTCTTTCTTATGGGACCAATGAAACAATTAAAAAGAATGTTTGAACCCACTCGTTTGATAGCTACAATTCTTATGCTTGTAAGTCATTTGTCTTTTTGATTTCTTAATGACTAATGAGAATGTTCAGTTCGATATTTTTTGTACAGAGGGGTATACATGGTTTCACAGATACTTTTTTCTTGTCTTTAAAAACCTTCATTTCCAATTGCACTGCAAAAATTACAAATTTAAAAAAGAAGAGCTTTTGCAGAAAAAAGCAAAATTGTAATATTCAATCTTTTAAGAGATTTATATATCTGACATCTCTTCTCCTTAAAATGACAAAGTTCTCTCCATCATCCTGTGATGCCAGTACCATAGTTCTTAGAAACTGATTTTTTAAAAAGTTCATCTGTTTGCCAAAAAAGTTTTCCCAATTCTTTTAAAGAAGTTTAGATAAATACCATTTTGCTTTTTAAAAATTGTTTTTGCTCATATAGATTACTGGATATAGATTACTGTAATTGTTTGTTAATGGCTCTTAAGGGTTTTTTAATAAGTGAGGCTTAATATAGGAAACTGCTTTTTTGTTGGAAAGAAATATACAAGATTTAGATACAAGATACACTCCAAACCATGGGAATACAATTATTAGGAATAATTGGGATCTTTTATTTAGAAGCTGAATTTGGGAAAGGCAATCTTCATTTAGTTCCATCTAAATTTCAGATGAAAAGTTATTCCAGGACCAGTGGTGGCAGCATCAAATCTTTTACCTGGGGGAACAACTACCGTGTTTCTCCAACAATACGGTCTCCCCCAATAGGAAGCCCCAACATGTTTTATCGGCATAAAATCAAATTAAGCCCCTCCCCCCAAATTAAGGCCTATATTAAACATGCGAAATGGGGGAGAATGGCAGGGGGACTTGCCATTACGAAGTACTTTTGTTGCATACCCGGATATGGTGCTGCCTGCATTGACTTTGGCGTTGGTAGGGCACTTTTATCAGGAGACCTTCCGCCACCGTTGCTTTCCCTTCTCCCCATGCTGTCACGGCATTTAGAGCAACGCCGCGGTGTTTGGTGCTGCCATGCACGGCCAGCCAGGGCTCCTCCCTGCAACCGGACCCCGTCGGAGACACTCGGCTTCAGGCGCTCCTGTCACCGCCTTCCCTTCGCCTTCGAAGGCAAAGCCAATTCTTTTAAAAATGATGTCCTACTACCAGTACGACAAAGCCTCCCCTGCCCAAGAGGGCAGCCCAACCCCACGTGGGGAGGTGAATCTCCCAGGGCAGCAGTGCAGGATTGGGCCACCCTGGGAGAAGCGCCCAGCCACCATCCCTGCCTGGTGCCAGGCAAGCACGAAGAGCTACGCCTGGGGCACCCAGCGCAGCTGACAGGCAGGCCCTCCTGCCCGGTGGCAGAGCTCTCACCAAGGCAGCGATCACCTCCCTGCTGGGCCCTCCACTCATCCTGCGAGGGCTGCGCCAGAGCCGTGCAGGCTGTGCAGAGCTGGGAAAGTGAGCCACGGGTGCGCGCCCGCCTGCCAAGCGAAAGAGCAGGGCCGACCTGAGCTTGGCTTCCTTCCCAAGTCCCTCCAGCCCGAACCCGAAGGGGCCACCAGGAGAGGCCACCCGAGGCAGTGATAGCACCCACCCATCCCTGGACAGGGAGGCAAGGCAACGGCCTGCGCCATGTCCTCCGAGCTGAGCCCCGCCGAGTCAGCGCCTCTGCCCGATGCCTGTGCTGCTGCAGCGTTTGGAGCTGCCGGCGCATTTGGAGATGCGTGGGGATGGGAACGGGCTGGGTGAGGGGTGGAAAGGATGGGCGGCTTTGGGGTCTCTCCACTGGATCTGCCAGCCAGGGAAGCAGTGCTGCTGTCGCCTCGCCTCCCTGTCCGCTATCACTGCCTCGGGCAGCCTCTCCCGGTGGCCCCTTTGGGTTCGGGCCGGAGGGACTTGGGAAGGAAGCCATTTGCAGATTCTCTGTTTGCTTCATCATTGCTATCTTTAAAATATACATATCATAAACATGAACCATTATAGAAAATCGGGGTATAGGAATTGTTTTGCTTTGCAAATGGGAGGTTTTAGGTTGTTGCTTACTTTTTAATGTTATTGTAAATGGATCTCTATATTATTGCTGCTATAGTATTTGGACATGGGTTTAATCTTTCAAGAAAAGGCGCTGTAATACTTTACCCAGTATTTTATTTCGATTATGCCTTCTATCAATAGGTATAACTCCTAATTAATTTAGAACTTAGAAAGTACATACTTGCAAAAAAGAAAATTTAGATTTGGCCTGAACCAGAAACTTTTATGTTTTCTGGGGATAAAGAGCAATTATAAACACATCTGCTTTTTAATTATTTACTTCAAGATTAAGTACTTGTACTATAAGTACTATTATATAGTACTATTACTATTAAAGCAACGCTTATGTGCTTCCTTAAATAAATTAAATTTATTTAGTCCATTTATTTATTTATTTATTTTGTAGCTATTATATTAGATAGCATTTCTTATTCAAATACTTTCTTTATATATTTTTTTAGTTATGCCTCATATTAACTCTATGTGCAGCTTTCTGGGTAAGTAATCAAATTTACAATGTGACTGATATGTTTTAATAAAATTATTTGTAAATAATTGCTGTCTAAGTTATAACTACCTTTTTCTTTTCAGTGGCATAATAAGGGGCTTACTATCCTCTTTTGCATTTTACAATTCTTTGCCTTGGCATGGTATGTATCACCTCATTTTTCTTGGCTTGTTTTCCTGTGTACATAAATTGTTGGCAATAATTGAAAGTTCTTGTGCATCTAGGAACAAAAGCCTTTCTTATATCTTTCATAGACCTTGCATCCTTTTCACATAAAGTATACCATAATGAAGCCAAGATATTTTCTTCTAATTCCCTAGGAATTTTGAAGGCATTGCCCTAAGTATCTGTTTTCACTGGATTTCACATGAGAAAACATGTCCACATTTGCATATAATGCAAAGGCAGTGATTGGCAGGATTGCATGAACATTTGATCTCTTACCTGATGAGATTTGACTCACTGTGCATCTGACCTCCTGGTTATTCCCGGCATATAAATCTTAGTTCTAACGTTTTATTAAAGAGTCGGTTTGAGGTAATATTTAAAGGTTACAGGTTAGAAACCAGGAGACTACTCAGCCTTAGGTATAAAACCAGCTGGGTGACTTTGAGCAAGTCACTCTCTCTGTCACTTTCCACAATTTTAGAAAAAGGGCACTTCCAGAATCTTGGGGGAAAAAACCCTACATGGATTAGTCTATAGTTTGCTAATTTAAAATCTTCAGTGTTTTCTAGTAAAACAAATAGTTTGTGGGATTCAGAAGGGACCAAACTGAATAGTAAAGCAGATTTCAAATGAATATTTTAGCCATTTCCAAAAGCTCTTGCAGTAGTTAAAAGGACAATAACCTAGTTTAAAGTACAAAACTCGTTTGCGCTCAGGATCTTTTTAAAAATCTGTTTAAATCTTTATGTTACACTTAATCAAATTACGAGTTTTTCTTGTAAACAGGTCTCAGAATTAAACTTCTAGCTTAAATCCTCCAAATATTAGTAGACTAAGATAAAAACAACTTGATCCTAACTAAAAGAGAAATCAGACTTCAATCAAGATATGAGGATCAGATAATTTTTCAATATACTCAAACTTTTTTAAAAAAAAAATCACTGGAATACCAAAAAGTTTTCCAATGATATCACTGAAAATCCAGAAGAATAACGTTTCCTTTTTCATATGAAATTAGCTAAAAAAAACAATGGGTCTGCCAATCCCATAAAACTTTCTCAATTGTTTATCAAGCTTCTTAAAATACTGAAGATAAATTAAACTTGGATTTCATACACCTGCATATGTATATATGAAAATCAGTTTAGATGCTGCATTCATTTTAACATATTTTTTCCTGTAAACTCATTAGGATATGCAGCCATTCATACATATGATGACTTAAACATTTAATAATGTTTAGCTCATTAAAACAGTTTTTACTGGAATTAATATTTGAAGATATTTAAGAACATATGAATAATAAATCCATTCTTGTAGATTTCCTAAAATAATTTGGATTTGAATGAAAACATATTATTTATTTTGTTGAATAACCTACTAATTTAGCAATGTTGAACCAAATATATAATAGCAATCTATGTTTAATTCCTGTTACATTGATACCCTAGATCTTCTTTGATTATCTAATAAAATAGGTTATAATTCCACTATCAACTTTTATGTGAATGGAGATGAATTACTTTCTTGACATAGTTTCTTATTCCCACTAACTCTCTTCGTCCAATATAATGAAAACTTCACATAATCTCTATAGAATGAAAATCCATGGCAGACATAGTTGGGGGCATATACCTACATTTCTGCTTACATGCAATGAAATATGATATTACAAATGTTGTGACAAAGTTCATATCTTAAATGCGTAGTATTTATCTCCTTGATCAGCCATGGCCAAAGTGACACAGAGAAAGTTCTGTTGCCCTTATTCTCTGGAATTTCATTCCTTGTCACTTGCTACTCTAGAAGTCAGCCTTATATAAATTGATTTTAAAATTAAAGCAATGCTTAGTCTTGGCACACTGCAGTGCAGTAGATATCTGCTGCCAGCATCTGAGTTCAGCCATGTGTAATGTAGGGTGTTAACAATATTGAATTGTGAGAGGAAGGTGATTTTCTTTGTTCTTGCTAATGATTTGTCCTATTCCTTTTCTAGGTACAGCATTTCCTACATACCATTCGCAAGGTAATCTTGATTGCCCCCATTTTGTTCATGGGACAAAATGGGACAAAAACACATTTCTTCCGTGATTCGTATGGGTTGGAAAGTCAAACTAACCTAATGAAAAGCTGTTCTGTGTGGCAGAAATCCAAGAATTACTTATAAAAACTATATATTTCCTGGGAGGAGTGACCTACATGATTGTTTTAGTGAAATACTGCCATCAGTATAGAGTTACTTTATAAGTGGATGCTGAAAAGTTTTAATCTATATTATGACAAAGGAAGATGAAGAAAGGAAAGAATATGGAGACTTATAGGTATATGGTTAATTCAGAGAGTAGCATTGGACAACTCTAACTAGTTTGAAGAAAAAAAGAATTGACAAATATAGAATTATGATACTGAGGACTTTCTGTGTAATAAATATCAAGATTACTCATCAGGATTTCATGGGAGATATGAATTTTGAGATTGGATTAAAAGGAAATATAGAGAGAGCTTGTTTGGTGTGGTTGGTTTAAATAAGGTAGGTCCTAGATTCATATGCCACCTTAAGTCATAATATAGATCATTGGATTTGTGCTTAGCAAAACCCTGTTAGTTGCAGCTTTGCTAACGAACTAAACCTAAAATATACTGGTGTTGTCTAAGTCTAGTCACCTTTAGCTTCATCAGCATTTCTTTCCACAGGGATGCTGTGAAAAAATGTTTTGCTGCATGCCTCACATAACAGGTAAACAAACAACCTAATAACTTAAAGAAGATACAGTGACTGGTACATTAGAGTAAAATGGTTATATCCTTATTTTTAGCCATGTTCATCTTAATTTATAGTAAAGAAAAGGACTCTAAAAACATTTGGAAGGGCCTTGGAGAGATGTTTCGATATTGCATGCAGCCTTTTTGAGGTAGTCTGAAAACGTTATGCAAAATTCAGAAGTACAGAACACAACACTGAGGAGAAGAAACCATGCGTATTGCAATATCCTAGGGATCTGATTTTCTGTCCAGGTTAGGGAAGATGGGCAAGTCCTCATCAGTGTTCCTTGGATAAGTTCTATTAGGCAAAGTGGCCCTTTCAGGACGCATCAGAGTTGGGGAAGTCCATTGTAAAGGAGATGGAATGTTGAGGTCATCAGCTAATAAGCAGATGGAAAGTTGGGGTGTTTCAATTTCTTACTATGTTATAGTTCCTTTATTAGGATTCCTTGGGCTGTACTGTTAGCTGTCAAGGACGCTTCTGCCCTCTGTTTTAGGTGGGAGCTTTGGGGCAAGGGAGGGTCAATTTGGGTCTGATGGAATTGGGCAAAAAGAGGAGTTGGATTTGGCTCTGGTAACGTTCAAAAGAGACGAATTAAAAGGGTGCATCCTCCATTTTGTTTGTTAGATATATTTTCTCCACTCCAGAGAACATGGAGTTTAGGATGTCTTTTTTTAAAAGGGGAAAAAAGGGAGGGGGGGAATAGTCCGCAATTCACTGTGAGGATTAAAATAATGTCCTAAAGTAAAACAGGTTTATTAAGGTATAGATTCCTTTAATTAACCTCTACATAAAATAAGGCAGTTTTAAGGATGTTATAATACCTATTTAAATGTTTCCATCTTCTTCATTTAACGTTATAGAATAAGCAATTGCAGATGTGATATTTTACACTCATGTTATGATGGGCAGTAAAAGCTATGATTTTTCTAGTTAGTAAACTTTTTTTTAATTTTCAAAAGCTTTTCTACATGTGAGTTCTAGTCCAAGGGCATATATCAGCAGCTGAATTACAAACTAAAGAACAGATTGTTGGAGGGATGCAATGTTTTTTAAAAAGGGATATGCATTTCTGTTTATTCCCAAAAATGCCTTCTGTTACTGCAGTTAATATATTCTATTACCAACAGTGTATTCCTATTTGAAACTGCAATATACTTTCTAGAAAAACAGTTTTCTGCCTTTCATAAGATAAATCAGATAATTAATGGAGAAATTACTTATAAAACTTTTGGTTTGGCTGCTTTTTGCAGGTTAAGGTGGCTATCTTCTTACACTGAGGACTACAACACCTGCACAACCAAATGATTCTTGAAACAGCACACACCTGCCTAAGAACAAAGCATTAACGTGTTAACACGTTAATCAGAAGACAAAGATACCATATATTCTTTTGAAGATAACACATTTTATGAAAATTTCAAGATAAATTGTGTCTCGTCTTCACTTGCAAATTAATACTTAATGTGTGCCACAAACAACTTTTCTTCAGATGATTTTATTTTGGAAATAAAATGGATATTCTAGTAATTGTGAAAGGGATGGGTGACATTTTATTACTTTTTATCAAGAGGTTTCTATCAAAAAGTCCTTAGGACAGATTACATTTTGGAAAACATTAGCTAAGCATGTAGTGAATTTTTCTCCATAACATTCTTTTAGTTACTTGCTATCAAAATACCATTTCTAAATGTCTCTTTTAGTTCTAAAAATCTGATTGCAAATTGTATTAGAGAAGTTCCTGGAATTTGTTGTCTAATAGGACAGCAAGTACAATTCCTTTCTTTAAAGTACATGAATTAGTGTCTGATAAGCAAGATAATCTGGGAGAAAAGTGGGAGTTATAAAAATAGATAAATTGATTTCTCCAAACATTTATGTTTATGGACTTTTGCACATGTGGCCTTGAAATGAAATAAAATCTAGACTTCTGCCTTTATTGCTAACTTATATTCTGAAAAATTTCATCTCTTCTTGATGCCATTGCAGTGCCTCTCTCATTTGTATTTTCATGTTGAACAGATATGACTTGTATAACTCAAAAGTGTACCATATTCTAATTGGGGAGACAAACATCTCAGATTTTGAGTGCCTTCTTTTCTCATCCTATCTCCCCCCCCCCCCAATATCTTATGTTTGGTTGTATGATCACTCTGTATAATCATATTATGTTTCATGCTTTGATTTCCCAATAGGATAGTATCCTGGGATTATTTAAACTGCCAGATGCTGGCATATTGACCATTTTTGCTGCATTCCTTTTTTTCTCCTTTTTGCATTGGCGTATTCCTTGGTTATTTCCCATAAGAAGTAAAAATAGTATGTGTACATGTTAAGAATTATTTGATAGTTTTTGCAGTTGGTTATCTTGATACTATGCTATACTTATTTTTAAAAAAATCCAATAATTTTGCCTTTGGTGGAATTTATGAACTGTAATCATTCATTGCCCAAAGAAAAACAATTTACTATCTATGTTCATTATACTTCCTGTTCTGCTCTCTTTTGTCTTTTGAAAGAGACTAATACAGGATATCAGAACACAGAAATTTCCAAGTGAGAAGTAGCCACATTAATTCTGTTTTTGTACACAATGGAATCAATGTTTGTATCAGTCTAACTAGTTTAGTATAGCTCTATAATTGTGTTGTGCTGCTTACCAAGCAAGCATATTTGTAGATTTGTAAGCTTGATATTTGTGAAATAATTCACTTTTATTATAACTTTTATTATGAATGAAGCACAAAATTTTATACACTGATTGTAAATGAATACAGGTCAGGCAATTCTAAGTAATGTATTAAAATTAGGTCTACTAGACCTCGGTTTTCAGAAATGAACAGATATGATTCTTTCCTACATCTGCTTTTTGTGGAAACGTTTAAATTTATCACTGCTTACAACGTAAAACTATCCACATCTGTACATTATAAATTTTGAATATATTCTATAGATATTTAAGTATATATATTTAATAGGTTTTTATAGTGAAGCAATGTGTAATTCTTAGTGATAGTGGTAATTGCAAACTCTCTCTTATAGTAGACTGTTGAGACACAAGGAGGAAGATTGGGGACAACATTCTAAAAGATACAAGTCTCTTACTTGTTTCGGTGGTAAATTGTGCTGAACAATTTAACACTAAGTTCATATATTCTGTCTTGATTTTTAGGGTCACTTGAATATAATGTGATAAATTATTGTATAAACTTAAAGGATTTTATGAAGCTCCCTTGATTCCCCCCTCCCCCAGGATTTTCTAAATGTGTATTCTTTCTTTTGAATACCAGCTGAGATCATCTTTCCATTTTCCTTCTCAATGTCTTCAGATAATTTAATTTAACGTAACATGTATTGCTGTTACTGATGTGCAATGCATCTTATGTCTATTTCTGTTAGAATAACAGAAGGATAGTAATAGAAATGCTGGAAAATGCAAACATCCACAATAAGAAATTTATTACTTTATGAAAACAACTGGATTGAATCCCACTGAGACATACAGCTATCAGTTCCTGCCTTTACATCTTGGTGCTTCATGTTTGCCTTCTCCAACTTGAGGGTCTCCAAGCTGAAACAAAATCCCCTAACTTCCTAATCAGCATGAAGTCCTCATGGAGCTGTCAAACTGGGAAACAGCGCTTAAGAAGGGTAGCAAATGAGAAACAAAGCCCTTTAAGTATATTTTGTCCAGCCGTTAAATCTTTGAAGAAACAATTGTACAATATGTCTGTCTGAAGTAGAAGGCTTATTTTGGGGAGAGACTAAGATAATTCCAGTTGCTAGGGCTAGGCCAATAGTAAGATCTTGCATTTTAAGACAAATAAATGCTCTATCTTGTCTGACACTTAAATTGTTACAGTACATATCCAACACTAATTGAATTCGTAAATTCAATTTGAATAACTTCCAATTTTTGACCTTGCTGAATTCTTGTTAGGTATATTTTTACATATGTTTAATATAATATTATTAAAGATATTGAATGTCTTGTAAGAATATCATCTCTTAGTTATTTCTTTTCCCTGCTAAATATGCATTAAGGGAACAAAGGCATTATTGTCTTAATATGGTTATATGGCCTTTTAATAACTTTCTCTCTAAGTCAATGTTCAGCCTTTATGTTCTAGTAAATGTAGAATAAGATAGCTTTTCTTGTAATTTTTCCCACTCCCTCATATTGTCAATATGTTAAATCACTTATCTTTGTGCATTATTACTGTACTCTTTATGATAAACTGCCTTAATTGCAAGTGTGCTAGTTTTATCCTCTAAAGTATTTCCACAGCTAAATATAAGTAACGTGATCTGTTAGAGATATCTATTTATTTGAGGGGGCATGGAAAATGAAGTGCCTACCTCTATATTCTGACCCAGTCATGTTAGCAGGATTTCCATAATAGAGTTGTGCAAAGTGTTCAAAAGAGTTACTTACTTTTGAAGAGTAAATAGAGTGCAGAAGAGTCCAAATGAATCATACCTCTTCAAACTATTAAATCAGTTTGCGCAAAGCTTAAAGACAGAACTTAAAAACTTCTTTGGCTCGAAGCAGTCATACAAGGCTTGTTAAAGACACAGCTACTTTAATAAGCCAAAGATGGGTTCTTCTTTGGTGTAACAGCAGAAAAAATACATCTCTGTTGAATGTTTTCCAGAACCCTTGTAATAAGCTATTGATTTTTTTGTTTGAAAAAACATTCCATTTTTGTACACTGGCTTTTCTCTGTGCTGGAAATTTTGTTTGCCTTAGAAGAAAATATTGTTTGAAAGGAACTCTTTTTCAGTACCATATCACCTGTAATAAAAGTGTTTTCACAATGTTTGTCTGTCTGTATTGTGTTTTTCCTAAAGTAAACTTTGTTGAAATATTCAGAATTGTGAAACCTGCTACTGAAGCCATATCTTCTGAGAACACATTGCTGTTGTCAATATACTGTAATAATCATGTTGGTTTTCATGTTTATGAGTTGGAATGTGAATAGTTGAAATTATCCAAAAATTCCTGGTTCATAAAGAGTATTATGTGGGAAAATAGATCCATTAAAGCTGTCTGAATTTTGATTATATTTTATAAAATGATATACAATAGATATTGATATGGTGTTAAAGCTTTAGATAAAACCTTTTTAAAATAAAACTTCATAGTTTAACAATATTTCAAATCAACTTTACTGATAATCACTGATAAAATAGGTATAGATGAAGGAATTAAATGGTAAATTCAACAGAAATCTAAGTTGTCACTATATAAAATTAATCTGAAAATAATTGGACAAAAGTTGTTGGTTATAATGCAAATTTGTCAGTAAAGCCTAATATTTCTATGAAAGTAATTTGATTTCTCCGTAATACTTAGTTAACTTAAAGGTTATTACAGATACATGTTAACTACCAGTAACTATCTTTAAAAACCAGTGGCCTATACTTAAAATGCGTGGCTTTTAAAAAATTTCTGAAATATTTAACCTGAAGGTCAGTTCTGCTTCTCCGTAATTGTTACTCCATGTGAGAGCCAATTTGGTGTAATGGTTAAGGCATCAGAGTAGAAACTGGAAATATATGAGTTCTAGCCCTGCCTTCAAGATGAAACCAACTGAATGACCTTGGGCTAGTCCCTTTCTATCAATCCTAGGAAGGAGGCAATGGCAAACCACTCCTAAAAAACCTTGGCAAAAAATTGGAAAGATTGACAGGAAGACAAACATGCTCTGAACAAATAGGTCTCTTAATAGTTTACATTTGAATACAAAAATTCCATCTTGATATTTAGTTTATCCTAGTCAGAAGTGAGTGAGGTTTATATGAAATGCTGGAGAATCAAACCCAACTTCTGGCACTTTTATAAACATGGCATTGGCCATGTTATTTATTTTTTCCAACCATACAGAAGTGATTTGCCACTTCCTTATTCTGGGATGCTTTTCAATTTTCTAATAAGCTCTGGACCATTTACTTTCTCTGCTGTTTTGCCAAGTGCTAACAAAGTTTACCCTGCTTACCTATCTGGTTGCACCAATGTACCAATTAGCAGAGATCTAATTTGCAGAGGATTTCCCCCTGTTAGATTTGTTCAACTATTTGTCATTCATATAGAGCACAAACTTGATAAATGGAGTTTTATAAGTAGACTGAGGCAGAGAAACATTTTCAGAAATGTGTTTTGGTTGCTTCAGCAGAACCAAGAAATAATCAACAAATCAATCTGAAATTCTTTGAAGCGAACAGCTCTTTACATATAGCAGGGAAAAAAATAAAATATGTTTCCTCTTTAACTGATATTTAATAGCTGTACTTTCCTACAGACTTTTTTTACTGACTCTAATAATATAATAGAAAATTCTTGGTCAAATGAAATCCATGAGAAACTAACTCATTCTTTCCATCTCCTGTCCCATTTGAATGGATTCTCTTCCCTGAACATTCAGTTCCAGAAGCTAGGAAACTAAATATCTATCTAGCCATGACATCCAATGCCGAGACATAATTACAAAGGACAAAAAGACAGCAGGTTTTCTGGCGTTCTTTAATCAAGGTTTGACACCATCAGTAATTATTGGACTTGAAGTGATTTAGAAAAGATTAGTCTTTTCATTACTTTAGCAGACATATTCAAGAAAAGGGCCAATTAACTTCTGCTGGTGACCGAGGTTCACAGGCAGCAGGGCTTATGTATAGCAATAATGTATAGGTAAATGTTAATAGCATATAAAAAATTCTATTTTTATAAATTTCAGAGAAGCTGACAGTCTGGATGAACCATCAGTCCACTTATTTGCATAAAGTCTGGAAAGTTTAAGTCTTGCCAAACATTTACTTTTGATTCATTCTGTTGTTAAGAAATACTTTATGCACTGAGCCCTAGAAATTAAAGGCTATTAGGTATCATGCTGATAAGTCTAATTTAAGACATCCCATTAATAATGACAGGTGTTTCAAGAGTCCAACCAGTGGCAGCATCTTACCAACCTTGCCGATTTCAGGAAGCTTAGCAGGATTACAACTGATTAGTACTTGGATGGTAAAACCATCAGGAACATGAGGTCAGTAAGCTTGATAAGGAAGCTGAGGAATCATCTTGAAAGAAGACTACAGAACACCATTTCCACATTGTTCCAAGACACCCACATCATTATAGCATCACTATTGTGAGTGTAGTTTATTGCTATTCTCAGGAAAATTTATTTCTAGATAGGGTCAGTAAATACTGATTCTACCCTCCATAAAATTTATGAAGAAGCAGTGAATCCAGTTATTAGTAATGATATTTGATGCCTCCTCAGGAAACAGTTGTCCTAAAAATAATATTTATTTAATTTAACTGTCATTAAAATAATAATTGGTAGGCTCTCTTAGTATTTTTGGTTTAGTTTGTGGTATAATGATCAGAGCAGTGTTAGGTGCTGCTACTTATTTATCAGCAAAAATATTTCTTTTTCATAGAGAGCATGATTTCCATACAACACCCTTGTGAGCATTGGGAAAAGTTTTAGGAACAGAAACAGGAAGATAAAAATACTTTGGGAAGTATTATACTTTGGGAAGTAAAAATACTTTGGAAATACTTTCCTTTATATTGGGAAGATAAAAATACTTTGCAAATAGCATTCAGTCTATGAACCAAAGGTTCTTAATCCAACAGACTTGTTAATTCATTTTCCTTAACACCTGTTCACTTGAAGTGGTTTATCATATTCACCTCCTAGATTTGAGTCATATATTTCACCCTCTTGCTACTAAAGCAAGCAGCCAGAAGCAGGATATTTAGTTAATGCCCTTCTGTACAAATATTCATTAGAAGAAATCCATGTAGCTCAGAGTTAAACTGTGTAGCCTGTCAGGTACAAAGACCCAGGTTCACATGTGAAGGCCCAATAAAACTGATTTATTGCTGAAAAGTTTATGCACAGGAATTTCTCAACCAACAGTTAGTACCTGCTTGGAGTTAAATAGGCGTCCATAGAAATCAAGAGAGTTGGATTTAGCTCACTTATGGTATATAATGATTCTGGGCTGATTCTTCCTTTAATCCTACCCTCAAGCTTTCCCAATCCTACGGAGTCCTTGGTGCTTTCTGAGGTAGTTGTTTGCTTGCAGATGTTTCATCATCTGATTAAGTAACATCATCAATGCTTGATGATATTTGCTCTCTGCTTATTTAGAATTACAATATTAATGAGATGGACAGCATAGTAATTTAATAAATAATAAATAAATAATAAAGAAAGTACTTGCATTGGGAAGCATGGATTCTCCTTGACCAAGAAGAAAAGTGGTTCCTTGATTTCTTCTTGAATCAAGAAAACCATACCCCCAGCAACCTGGCAAAGCATGATATGTATATAAAAAAGGAGCAAATCCCACACTCACTACCTGTAGCAATGATGATGTTACCCAGTCAGGTTATGAAATATCTGTGGGAAAACAATCAAACTCAGAGAGCACCAAGGATTCCATGATCAACAGCTTTTCCTCAGTGGTCAATATTCAGTGGTAGATAGCCTATTGGCAGATGGTAAATAATTATCCATTTTAAATGAGAGCATGAACAAGAAACATTAGAATATACATCCTCTCTTCATCACCTCATTTTGGGGTTGGAATCTCAATGCCACATGTGGTCTATGAGCACTTTCTTTTGGCATCAACATGGTATTTTTCTTCTGATAATAACTTTAACTCTGTTAGCAATCCAGAATCTCCTGGCGAGTGGCAGCTGTACTATATATACTGAACAAGTAAAATATTAAATTTGCAAAAACTTTAATTTCTCATCATTTTAGGTGAGAAATAAATGAAAACTGCAGTGTAGATCAATAAAAAACAAACCGCATAGTAACAAGTTGAATTCCTGCTAACCAAGAGAAAACAGTATTGTGGTCTACAGTATGGCAATATCCTATATGCTTTACACCAAATACTGTCCACAGTATCCCTTACATTTCTCAAAGTAGATAAATTGGTCATTGCTGCCCTAGAATTTGGGGATCTGGCTTGCAAATAGGAAGCTCCTAGGAATTGTTCTCCGGTGCATAAATATATTTTGATGACGAACATAAATGTTTTTTCTTGACAATGATATACTGAAGCACAGAGAAATACACTTGCCTCAAGAAAGGCTAATATTATATATCATACAGTGTTCTTTTCAGTACCATTTGCATCTCCCTTTTCAGCTTGATTTTGCAAATCAGCACAGATTTGCTTTCCATTCATTGTTTCATTTGAGACATTAAATCATTTTCATTAATGGAAATATAGTTCTTGAGCAGAATAATTAGACCTTCCTCAGAAAGATAAAAGCTTAACAAATTGAATGGAAGATCCGTCTTCAGAAGCAGCCAATTGCCTAATCAGACTGCCTCCCACCTGACAGTTGGTAATTAGGACATGGTTGTGTGTTCATGTTAAAACCTTAACATGCAGGTGTCATCATCGTGTTGGGACATAGTGGAGGAAAGAACAAGTCTGTGGCAAAAGGCTGAGGTGAGCACTTTTGTTCCATTGTGGCTAATTAATTAGTTTGGGCTTAGGTTCAGAGGGGATTGTGAAGGCTTCCCTCTTTCATTTTTTTTTAAAATAACCTGAGAAGTTTCTGACATTAGAGTCACCATGACTGATTTGAGCTGTAAGAAACACAGTGATTGCACCATCTCCAGGCTGCTCAATGTGGTAGAAAATGAACTCCTGGCTGGCAGAGACAAAGGAGACCCTACTGAGAAACAACTCCAGGTTATCTTGGAAGATTCTGCCCTGTGGCAGAGGTTCAGAGAAGTTACAAATGAGATGATTGTTACCAAGAATGGCAGGTGAGTGTTAACCTTCTCTTTTGCTAACAATGAATGGTGAAGTGAATTTACTACATAGAACAACAACTGTGATCGATTTGCAGTTCATTAGAGATATTCTTCTTGAGATGATCTGTAGAAATAAATAAAAACTGCACGAGAACAGGTTATAGTCTCTCCATTATTCCACTTCTTTCACGTGAACTTGGATAGTTTGCTGGCAGGACCGGCCGGAATAGTTGATTATATATTTGTGTATAAATAGTCAGCCCTTTTGAATATTAGTGGTTGTTGAGAGATGCTATTATTGCCAGCTTAGAAGCAAGTGAAATATCTTCTTTATGTGTATCTAATGGATGTTGATGCAGCATATTTACATTTGCAAGTATCTTAATAAAAGAAGCAAGGCTTCATCTTTTTGTGAACCAAATGTTCAAGTTCTTTTCTGAAAGACTGTTTCATATGAGAGGATCCTATTGGGCACCATAATTTTCCTGTACCATATAAGAGATTAGTGTTGTTTAAGGTAAATACATATTTTCTCTTAAGAAGACTTAAAGCATTATAAACTTCAAAATGCAAAATGCAACATAAATATATAAATGACATAAATAAACCAATTGAAATGATTTTATCCATCACACATGCAGATAATGTAAAGTTCTGATTAGTTTATAATGCATTCTTACAATATTTATACATGATAAAGTGGTTGCGCATGTGGTTTTGTCCAAACATATTTAACATTATGTCCTGCTGGGCTGTTTACAAGTTATTTCTGGTGGAAGACTTTTCACTCTTACTTGTTCCATCACTTTTCTTTCCATAGAAAAAAACTCTTTGGGGTGAAAATATGGAACTATGTCAGAATCTATTTTGTACATTTTTTTTCTAATAGTGACTTAAAGCACAACAGAGCCAACCACTGATTGTAATAAATAATATAAATGTCTGTGCCCATTACTGTCATGTTGGCATCAGAATGAATGCATGTGAATAGAAGATGCTATAAGACAAGTCATTAGTGAGGAAATGCTAGGTAGTGCTAGGAGCTCCCTATCTAAAAGAATCCATGAACTATGTTTTTCCAATGGTTACAATAAGAGAGAACACATTATCTATAGCTCTCAGTTCCAGTAGTCAGTATCACACGAAGGCCAGATGTATTCAATATGTATCATCATCATGGAGAAAATCTATGTACATGATCAGTAGAAGTTGGTGACTTAATGGTACATAATCCATCAACCAGTACAATCAACCAATACAATTTGCATAGTTTTGCTTATGTAAACAGTAAGCACAGTAGCCTGTATAGCTTCGGGAATAATGGCACTGGGGGTGGGGGGTGGGGTTTGAATTGATTTTTTTTCTAATAGCTAAAAGAAAAAACTTTCTCTCCTGTGATATGTAATCATAGACAGAGTATGAAATTGGAAAGTGTCTTCTGTTCTGTCCCTCATTAGTTCTTGGCCATCATCTCTCTTCAATACATATAAATACTGAATCACCAAATTCAGTGCTATCTTTGATTTTTTAGTTTATTGATTCCCAAGTCAAATTCTCCCCCACCCCACTTTTGATGGTCACCTTTTATGAGAGGATCTATTGTGTTCTTCATGTCGGGAGATGGCAACAGGGCTATGTACAAATGGAAACTTATGTAAAAAAATCCTGTGACAATATACTGCGAGATCGATCATATAGTAAAGGGTTATAGTTTTGCATTGTCACATTTTAAGGGGAAATTTGAGTAGAATGTGTTATATATCTGAAAAGGTGCTAAAGAAAATATAACAATTATGCAAAGGATGCTTAAGAAATAATGTGTAACTCTGTGGGAGGTCTAAGAATTTCTTTAAGTTGCTACATTGTAACTTGTTGTATTTTCATTATGTAAAATTCTGGCTGGGTTTGCAAACTGTTGCATTTCAGCAAAATCAAGCATTCAGCTTCCGAAGTACAGAATTAAACATTAATACAAATTATAAAGTGATAAATCTCTTTTTCTAAGAGCACCTCAGTTGACTAAAGAGTTATGAAATATTATGCCTGAGAAAGTATTAATAATATAATTGATAAAAAGAAGAGGGAGGGAGAAGATCTCAAGCAGTATAGAAGTCTGCTTTCACTTCAAAGCCTTGTTATCATAGCCCATGAGTATGAAATTTGGTAGCTTTGATTTTATTTGTGCTACTGCTCAATGTTTTCTTTCTCTAATTTTGCTTCTTTTCTGATTCACCACTATTGCTTTTGCTAATTTGTTCACTGGCAAAAAAAGAATACCTATGTGATGACCCAGGGTGGGATGCAAAACAAACACAGTCACAGAAAACAGGTAAAGCCCCTTTTATTCCTTCACTTTGCTTCCAAGCTCTGAATATTCTTGATGGAAGCCAAAAAACTCCCACACCAACAGTTACAAAAAGAAGGGAAACAGCAACACAAACCAGACAAGATAAGGGCTGGAGGACGCCCACAGATAACATACACTGGGAAGGACGCCAATGTCATAGAGGAGTCATAAACTAGAGTTATTTCCATGCTTTGTTTCCAGCATTTGCCCATACGCAGGTCCATACTCTTATTCAGTTGTCACAGCTGCAGCCCATGAAGAGGATCAAGGTCCTCTCCTCCCAAGTAGACCACATCTCTCCCTTATCCTCTCCTCCCTGCAGGCCCTAGGATGGATAGGGGATGGGCCTGGGTCTCCTCTGACTGCTCAGCTCTCCTCTGCTCTTCCCCAGCCTCCTCCACAACCTCCGGAGCCACAATTCCACTCCCTGTTAGCTGTTCCTCCTCTCCCTCAGAGTCAATCTCCACCAGGGGCATGACAGCCAGATGAGCTTATGAACTCTAAATTAATCCATGCATAGGAGCGAAAGTCATCACAATGTTTCCCCAAGAATTCGAAAGGCTAATGTTGAAATAGGTAGTATTTTTACATCAAGATTTAATACATACATGGTTTTTTAATTTATGCCAGTATATAGAATGCATCTAGGTTCAACCAAGCTGTCCCAAGAATATTATATAGAACCATGATGTGCACTGGTTAGAATGCAGTATTACAGGCTAATTCTGCTGACTGCTGACTGCCAGAAATTTGGCAGTTCAAGTCTCACCAGCTCAGGAATGACTCAGCCTTCCATCCTTCTGAGATTGGTAAAATTAGGAACCAGATTGTTGGGGGCAATATGCTGACTCTGTAAACTGCTTAGAGAAGGCTGTAAAACACTATGAATTGGTATATAAGTCTAAGTGCTATTGCTCTAAGTTATTAAAAAGCCATAGCAACCCAATCCAACTCAACCAAATCAAATCAAGAAAGATTTTAATGTATAGTCTATAGAGATTCTCAGTAATCCAAGTTATGGTTGTCCTAAAGGTGCTTTTTTTCCAGAAGGCAACTGGACTTTCTTGTTTTTTCTTTGAAGACGTTTCCCTTCTCATCCAAAAAGCTTCTTCAGTTCTGACAAGAACCTTCCATCCGATCAGAGCTGAAGAAACTTCTTGGATGAGAAGTGAAATGTCTTCAAAAAAAAACAAGAAAGTCCAGTTGCCTCCTGAAAAAAAAGCACCTTTGGTGCTTTTGATGTATTTTTGATGTATTTTTATATCTAGGCAGTTTGATTTATGGAACTTTTAGAAGATGCTAGCTTCTACCATCTCTGACTAATATGATGAAAGATTTAATTTCAAGATAGCACAAGGCTAGGGAAAATGGCCTAAAAGATCTCAAATCTTCTGAGATTGAGTACTTTTCATTTATTCTTTAGTTTTATATCACATTTTTTTTCCTCTGCAAACAAAAGGCAACATACATAGGCCTCTTCAAAAATTTCCCCCAAATAACAATTATGTGGGGTTTATTGCTTTAGGAGAAACAGCAGAACCCAAGACAGCCAGTGAGTTTTTATGACTCATGATGGACTTAAATCTGGATCATCCTCATCCTCATCCCAAACGTGCTCCCAAGTATGATTTAAGTGTTTTAGTTGGAGTAAAAAGAGAAAATAGAAATTCTCTCGGTAAGTATATACATAAAACAGACTAAACCTGTTCAGAAATATTCCTAGGTTTCCCCCAAAATTTAAGTAGTGAATAATGGAGCACAAACAATGCAAAACAACCCATTTGAAGATTACTAGTATAGGATAATCAATGGACTAATCAAAGGGAATTGGCATTGTCCATATTTATCCTGCCTCTTTCTTCTCCATGCTAATCAATTTCACGGCATTTTTTTTTTTTTCATAAGCTGGAGCCAGGAAACACGAACCTATTTTTTTCTCCTTTTCTCCTTGACTATTTAAATAGGTCATCAGATAGGAGGTCTTATCCTATACTGTGATATCCTAATTTGTGATACAAGAAGTAAAGCCAAATGGAATTATTTTTATCTCTATTTTTAGGTAACACACATATTATTCATTTTGTAAATAAAAGCATAATAAACAAGATCAAAATCTAATAAGTTGGCCAGGACTCTCAACCATGGGAGGAAGAGGAAGAAAAGAAGGAGGAGAGGAGGAGAAGAAGAAATATTTTCCTCCCAGACATTATGAGGTTAAGGAAAGGAAAGCAAGTCGGGTAATTGGAAATGTAGTTGCAAAAAATTTAAAACTGAAATAAGTTGAGACCAATAATAGTTGGAATGGGTCTTGAAAAATGGTTCACATAAACAATAATAAACACAAATAATATGAAAAATATAATTAATTCAAATGTTGCATTACAACTTTCACCAACCCTACTCACCATTGAGAGGAAAGCTGAGACCTGTACAGTATTTCAAAATCTAGATAATCATAAAGTTTACAGGAAGAGAGTATAAAGAAATAAATGCAGGTACTTTCCCTTTTCCAAAATGTTAACATCTCCAATTTAAATATTCTGAATTCAGTTAAAATTGTCTTTTCTTCCTGCCTTCCAGAAAATGCTGTTTAGGAAAGCTGTGAAAAGATTGTTCCCATCCTTCCTGAAAATAGAAAGTTAGTCTTTCAGTGCTTTAATATTGGTTCTCCTCATTCTGCCTCAGCAAATAGATTGAAAAAATTAAATGTATTACCAAAAAAAACCAGCCTTTAGACCAATTATCATTATGTAGCATATCCTTGAATGTGGTTTTCATTGGAAAGACTAATAATGAGCCAAATATTTGTGATGACTATGTTCCCTAGTCAATTGTTTTAAGAACAGAACAAGCTGTCTTGATTGTAAGATCTCATACTTCATAGCACTATCCATGCAAAACAGAAGAGGAATGAGTGTTATCTGTCTCTCTCTTAGTGAAAAGATTTTGTGTCATCAACTGACTCATTAATATGCTAATTTATAAAGCAAGCAATTAAAACAAATTATTCTCTAAATTTAAAAAGACTTAATTTCACATATGATTGTTTCTCATACAGGCGGATGTTTCCAGTTTTAAAGATCAGTGTTTCGGGGTTGGATCCAAATGCTATGTATTCTTTTCTGCTGGATTTTGCTCCAACTGATAGTCACCGCTGGAAGTATGTGAATGGAGAATGGGTTCCTGCTGGAAAGCCAGAGCCATCCAACCACAGCTGTGTCTATATCCATCCAGACTCACCCAACTTTGGAGCACACTGGATGAAGGCCACAGTATCTTTTAGCAAAGTGAAACTTACCAATAAACTAAATGGCAATGGGCAGGTATGGCTCCATGGTTTTTTTTTTTTTTTTGTAGGCCTCTTGGCTTGAGTCATTGGCTTCTACCAATCGAGAATGATCAAGGGTGCATTTATGCAATTAGAAGGGCCCTTAGAGGCCTCTTCACCCACAGATGCCAATTATTCCATGGAGTCCAAATGTAAACAGGAATAAACAGGCTTTAATTGGAGCTTTCAGATTTTAATGGACTCCTTGATGTCAAGAGAGACAGAGTGTGCTGTGGTTTAACCATCAGGGATTTTTACCTCCATAGTGTGCCTTGTATGCTGAGTTTTTACATAGGGCTTCAGAGAAGGGAAAATGATTGAGGGTATTGAGCCTTTGTTTTCTCTCCTTTGCCATTTGGTGCGTAAGTGGGATGTTGGCAATAGTCAGGTACTCAAATAAAAGGCTTCGTCTAAATGAAATAATTACTGTGCTTGCTTTTGCCTCATGATAATTATCAATATTCTATTGAATCATCTTTGGTCTTTGGAATAATAATACAAAGTATATACCTGTATGAGAAAATAAGTGGCATTCTCTCTGTAGGCCCTTAAAAATAAAAGAGGAAAGTTGGCTTTGTTGGCTTGTTTGTTTAATATGCATCTAGGACTACAGTGATGAACATTTTCTTTGATTTATTTTGGAATGTAGGATTAAATCTGAAAGCAAATCCATTAGCAAGCAAAGAATGAATTTCCAGCTTTGCGTATTGTTTACATCTATTCTGACTTGTTTATGGACATTTCTAAACTTATCTGGGGTCCTCCAGAATTTACATGAAGAAGAAAACTGGGAAAGCACGGACAGCAGGAACTTTGGTTTTTATATGTAGCAATTGTTTAATACAGATTTTCGGAGAAAGATATTTCAGCATAGCAGCAGCAGCAGCAACAACAACAACAAAGCATTCAGATAGTGATTAGATTTCTGTTTCTTTCCCAAACTGGAATACTGTTATTTTTCTACAAAAACAATACTATCTTCCCTACATTTCAAGGTCCAGAACATTCTAATTATTGCTTAACTACACATTAAAGATGCATCCTCAACCAATCACTTGAGTTGTTAACACCTAAGATACCCAGAAAAGGAGTAAGATGTCATTGTGACCATAATTGAATCATTTTTTTCCAGTTTCTATGCATACAGTTTCTCCTGTAGGAAGCCTAAAAACTGTAAAAGAATTGAACTATCTTTTTGTACTGACCCAGAGCCATGATCTTTAAAAAAGTTACATTTCATTGCTTCAATTATGAGTAAGGGCAATGGAATTAGTACAATGCAAGATTTCATTTTTTAAACACTGAATTCAAATGGAGGGTCTCTTCCTCTACCATTCAAAAGGCCCCAGTTATTTCTTCTGTCTTCCTTAACAAATTTCCCCTAGAAAAATAAAAGGTGGAAGAAGTGGCCTGAAAAGACAGGAGGATCAAATTTGAAGGATGTTGATCTCTGGAGCCTTCATAAAATCATGAGAATAAGACAGGGCAATCGTGTGTTAAAAGCCTAACCTGGAATCCTTTATAGTTACGGACCATTTCTAATCAACCCGGTTTTCATCTCTCAAGCCTTCTGATTCTCAACCCCTCAAAATACTCAGTCTGCTACTACTGTTTGCAGATCTATTCTGTTTTACCTACTTTTCAGCTGTTTGCACACCTACAGTCATCCAGGTAAAGTGACCAGAGATTAAATTGATCATAGTGCATTAGCAATAAACCAACTATTGCTGTTATTAGTTACTTATTTTTCCTCTCCCCTTTTTGAGAGTGATATGATGGCGAAAGAAGGCTTGCCAGATATATAGAAGGGCTGTCAAACTTACAGGCTGGATGTGTCATGCATTGGCCACGCCCACGCCCAGTTTAGTAAAAGGGAAAAAAGTCCCATACGTCATGAGACGACAGTTTGACACCCTGATATATAGCAATAGGCCTTAAAATGAAAGTTCCCTGACCTTGGAAATAATGGGAGTATATTGAAATGTTTGTTTAATTGCAACACTTGGGCCACAAATTATTTGATTACCAGGAGTCGCATCTTGCCTTGAAACCAAAGTTAATACAACTTTGTATAATAACTTCCATATGTCACAGGTTTTTGTAGAATACAAAATAATATCTCTTCAATTATTTTCTCTCCCTTTTTCTCATTCTAGATTATGTTGAATTCCCTACATAAATATGAGCCTCAAGTTCATATTGTTCGAGTAGGAGGCCCACACAGGATGGTAATGAATTGTTCTTTTCCTGAAACTCAGTTTATTGCTGTGACTGCCTACCAGAATGAAGAGGTAGGTGGCTATCATACAAAAGCAATTCATTTATTAGTGGGAATCACTTTGCACTTTCCAGAGAAACATAAGTAAATTTTGTGATCCACTGCCCTTTTTAAAGTATTGTTATCAACAAGGATGTGTTCTTGCATGCTTGCTATTCAATAACCGTGGAAGAGGCATTCATATGACATAAGTAAATTTTGTGATCCACTGCCCTTTTTAAAGTATTGTTATCAACAAGGATGTGTTCTTGCATGCTTGCTATTCAATAACTGTGGAAGAGGCATTCATATGACACCAGAAGTTATCCTTCTGGATCAGGAAGTTAGTCTCTTCCAACTGCAAAATCAATAAAAAATCAAGAGAGAAATTGGCTAGTGGCCAGTGTATTTGTACTTTGTATTATTATTCTAAAGGCCAAAGATGATTCAATAGAATATTGATAATTATCATGAGGCAAAAGCAATTTAATTCAATACTGTGCTGCCACAGGAGAGCAAAGCATATGCAATAACCCCAACCAAGTATGTTGCTTCTGATAGTGAAGGATAATATGAAATCATTATGTGATTGATTGCTTTATCTTGTTGAAAAAATTGCTTAATATTCTTTTAAAGTTGTCCAAATTAATTTTTAGTGTCACATCTAAATAGTAGTCAAGTGTGGAATTGTTTTAAATCTTTTTTTTAACTTCCTTAAAAGGTCCAAAAAATTATTCCTCTCCACTCCATGCATTGTTTCCTAAATCTGAGAGCTATATTAAATTATGTATGGTATGAAGAATACATTTTGTATAAATTCTTCTTGTAAATGATCAGCTGTCACATTTAAAAGACTTAACAGAACCCTTCTTTCTTGAACCTCAAGATAACAGCTCTCAAAATCAAATATAACCCTTTTGCCAAGGCATTTCTGGATGCAAAAGAAAGGTAAGATCAGTTCTTCATCAAATGTATGAAATTTGTTAGTAATAGAAGAATACCAGCTAATTTCCTGTTCTTCATTCTTAGTTTGTAATCTGCATTAGAAATATAATAAACACTAATCTACTGTATACATTATGACTAGAGATCATAATAATTCTTTGGCTGACTTTAATGACAAAAAGTTTAAGAAAGCTTTGTAAAGTTGATTAGACTTGTAAATAATAAGTAGCCCACAGAATTTCATGATAAAATAAATGTCATTAGAAGAATAATTTTACCAGAATCAATGAACCTTTAATCTCCATATCCTTCAGAAACTACTCCAAGGATGTTCCAGATATTGTCTCTGAAAGTCAACACATGACATATTCTCACTGTAAGTCATAAAATAGCTTGTTCTTTATTTAAATTGATAATATGAGCTAACTGTTGACCATTGCTATTGTAACATCTGTCAGTGCACAGTATTGGATGGTTAACAAATGGAAAAGTATTTTGAATAATAGGCAATAGTATGAAACAACAATATTTTATCTAGTTTCCTGCAGCTGTGATTAGGATTTTACTCAAATGCCCTGATTACCCCTTCTCTCCATTTGAGCATCTTATTACACAGGAAAGGCAAAGTTTAGAACTAGTAGCTATGTTGTTGTGAATATTCTTATAACATCACTGCCATGTTGAACCTTCCTATGTACAAATTGCTACCATGATGGTCATGGCCAATAATAAAACACTTAGAGAAAGCAAACTGTAGTGATATTGCCTCATTGTCCCTCCTTGTATGCATTACTTTTTTATGTTCTATTATATCACCTCACATTTATCTTTTTTCTGGAAAAGATAGGTTTCCTTCCAGATAATGCATTTGATTACATCAACTCATCGTTGTCATTTTTAGGAATTGTGGCTTTATAAAGCTACTGACCAAAGCATCTTGCTGTTGTTCGTCTGCTTAGTATTTGGTTATGACACCACCAGTTTTCAATAATGAAAGTCATTAGCAATACAAATTTCTATGGGAAAACCTTGTTCCTCTTTAAAATTTAGAAGTCTATTGAAGTCTTTTTACATGTGCAGTATAGATGCTTAATTAACAAAAGAAAGCTGTAAATAAACATTGACTTTTTCTCAGAAATAAAATTATTACATTTATATTAGTTCAATAACAATAATAAATACTATATAGCAATAACAAAGATTTCTGAAGAGCAGAAATACTTAATTTCTATTATAGAAAGTTCATTTATTCTTAGTCATTGTTAAAAGATAAGTTTATTTTGAATCTAACTCAATTACTGCTCATTTTGTGTCCATGCAGTTTTCTTGGCAACATGATGGAAATAGTGTATCATTGAATTCTTCCATGGTATAGTTCTAGTATTTCTTGGTAACTTCCCATTCAAATATTAACCATGCATCTCCCTGATTAACCTTTGGGCCTAAATGAGATCATTTAGCTATTGTCACTTGCTAAGTTACTGTATTTTGTTTTACACATTGAGTAATAAGGAGTGATTATGGGTCAGTGAGCATTCTTTGTATACACAAAAATAGCATTACTATTTATTTATTTGATTTTTATCTTACTTTTATTATTTTATAAGTAACTCAAGATAGCCAACATACAATACTTCCTTCTTCTAATTTCCCCAAAGCAACAACCTTCTGAGGTGGGTTGTGTTGAGAGAGCAACTGGCCCAAAATCACCCAGCTAGCTTTCATGCCTAAACCAGGACTAGAATTCTCAGTATCCTAGTTTGCAAGTCAGCATCTTAACCACTAGACCAAACTGGCTCTCTGTATCAACCTCCAACGGATTGCTAATTTAATCTGGTGAGAGAACTTAGTCATTTAAATGATACTGATAATGATGCCATAAGGAGTTTGAACTCCTAAAAGGCTCACCCTTGCTAGTAAAATCATGAGAGAGCTGAAGGAAAGGCCAACTCATAACAGATATAGGGCTCTCTGGGCATGAGAAAAGCCAAGCCATCTAGACAAAGGATTTCCAAACTCAAACCCAGAAGAATGCCAATGGCAAATAATTCCAGCAATGTTGCCAAGAAAAGTATGGGCATAGCTGAAACATGTGGACAAATCTAAGTATTAAATAATTTGACACACACATTAGGTTACAGGCAATTTAATTGCTGAAAAACAGCATTTCATTTTTATGAATAGATTCTGAAGTGATAAAATAGATAAACCTCGAGAAAGCTTGATCACTGATTGAAAAATAAATTCATTATTTTACAAGGATGCATACAATTAAGATTTAATTATGGGAGGTAAAAGTGAACTTAAACGTGTAGATCAGGGCTGTCAAACTCGTGGTCCCATGGGCCAGATGTGTCACACACAGGCCATGCCGGTGCCCATGCCTGGTTTAGCAAAGGGGAAAAATGTCCCAATATGTCATGTGACACCACTGCAACGACATGAGTTTGACACCCCTGATATAGATTATGGATTCCAACTTTCTATTAGTCCTACAGGTGGAGTTCTTGATAAAAAAATGCTGGCTCATCAAGGAGTTGAAGTACATAACTATATTGCTGATAGAAAATAGATTCCAGTCTTCTAATATCAACTTTTTTGCTATCAAAGAACTCCATTTGTTTCTGTTAATTTCCAAGTTGTTGGCATATTATGCATGGAATGAAAAAATCTACAAAATCATTCCATCTTCCAGAATAAAATTAATTTGTGAAAAAAACATCTACAAAAGGGAGCCACATTGTATAAATCAAAGTAGCATTTTGAACACCATATCTATGTCTAATTAACTGAACCATCAACAGTAATTTTATTGATAATAAAACATGTGACATTTACTTTAGAATTTTTAATTTAGAGTAGTCAAACAACCATTCATAAATAATTATTATACGGCTATTACTTTGTAAAAAAAACATGTTAAATCCTCAAGTACTAGAATATTAACAGCTCCGCTGTTAATATTCTAGGTATGATGTTTCCTTGCTAATTTTGATAAATCAAAGCTACACATTTCACATATAGGTTTATTAGTAATGTACTCAGAGTATATATTGTACTTCAGGCTATTAATTGACTTTATTTATTTTACTATAGAAAACACCAATATCACATACAAGTAGAGCCACTTTATGATCCTCACCTGTATATATCAAACCATGAACTTCACTGCTGTGCCTAATTACCCAAGGAGAGCAACCCTCCAGTAAAAAGGACTTAGATTAGATGGTTCTTATTTCCATTCTTTTTCTTTGAGATGAAAAGATTATTTAGTCATCCTATGTTTTTGAGTATTTTAGTCTGCATGACAGACTAAAAGATTATGTATGTATGTATGTATGTATGTATGTATGTATGTATCTGTGTGTGTACTTGTGTATGTATGTATGTATGTATGTATGTATGTATGTATGTATGTATGTATATTCCTGTTTCCCTACTTCAGCCTTTTTTAAAAACTCAATTCTCAATATTTCCCTAGTGGGTGGCTGGTTGATTTCCAATCCTGATGCTGTCTGTGCAGCAGGAACTTCCAATTATCCATATACGGGGAGTTTTTCTCTGCCTGCTCCACATTCTCATGCCTGCGAACATTATTCAGGTCTTCGAGGACACAGAGCCGTTCCGTATCCTGCTTCATACATGCAAAAAAATAATTATCCAGGCAAGTTCTTGTCATGTTTTGCATGCTAAATTACATCATATGAAATAATTAGCAAGTTTATCACAGCAAAAAGATTTTGAAAGGATAAAGAAGGTGTATAACTAACTATTCTAAATGTCAGTCAATAAATGCTCTGTTTTTTAATATATTGAATAACCACAAAAGGGAAATATTTATTAGTTCATAGAATACTCTTTTCTATATTATTTTCCTTCACAGCTGAGAAAGAGATAGTAATAGATCTTGGCTGATTTTATTTCAAAAAAATAAGAAGGATTAGATTTGATTAGTATTTTGATGGGAAATACCACCAAGAAATACTAGGACTGTAAATTAAGCTGTAAAATTAAATAGGCAAACACAGAGAATGGAAACTATGTCTGTATTGTTGCCAAGAAAATTACACCAATGATATCCCTAGGTGTCAAACCAGATTCCAAGGAGACTTCATTTTTAGGCAAAATTAACCAGTGAAGTTTCTGCTTGGAAAGATAGTACACATTTCCAGGAAATGCTTTTCTTCACTTTTGCTTCCCCTTGAGGCTTCCAGAAAAGCAGCTCTTTAATGGCAGAGAAGAAAAGAATTGATCCTTTTCTTTGAGAAATTATTATGATATTTTAGGTAAAAAGATTAAAAAGAGTAGAAAAACATGAGGCAAGATTTGATATCATCAGAAACCTCATAAAATTATATGAAGAGGGAAAGCCATATAGTAATATAAGCCTCATCTCTAGGATGCTGAACATGATGCAAGTAAAGTATGTACACTAGAATAGAACTATAATTCCTTCTTCTCAAGAAATACCGGAATATGATTGGACAGCAAGAATATCATAGTTCAACTGTCTTCTCCCAGTGGTGCCCCATTTAATAGCAATAGAAATAGTACTTACTAATAGTACTTATATATCACTTCATGGTGTTTTTCAGCCCTCTCTAAGTGGTTTACAGAATCAGCATATGTCCCCCAACAATCTGGGTTCTCATTTTACTGACCTTGGAAGGATGGAAGGCTGAGTCAACCTTGAGCCGATGGGAATCGAACTGCTGAACTGCTGGTAGCCAGCAGTCAGCAGAAGTAGCTTGCAGTACTACATTCTTTTTTTTTTTGAAAATTTTATTTGGGTTTTCACAAAAAAACCCATAATACAAATAAAATGTCTTTTTTTTGAAAATAGCATTGTCCCAGGTTACACTTCTTCATACAGACACAAACTCAATTTCATGCTCACTTTTATGTTCTATTCCATTTCTTATTACTGTTTTACATTTTTACGTAGTTTTTCTCCTCTCTTAATTTTCTCAGTTTTATTTTAATTATCTCATATCAATTCAAATCATTATATTTATACTTTTGTTTGTCCTGTTTCAATTTCATATTTTCTTTTCTCATTAAACAACTTTCTCCTGTAGTTACTAATTGGAGTATGACACCTTTATATCTTTTAATTTTATCCATTCAACTCTTATTTAAGCTTCAATATATACCTTGAGGTTATAACATTCAATATAATACATAACTTCCAATCGAATACTGCTTGGTACATTCTTAAAATACACACTATATTCTTAAAAAGTGATTATAAATATATGTAATTAAAATGCTCATTCCTTTCTTTTTTTCCAGATCCTGCCCTTTTATTCTTTTTCTCTCCTTTCCTGCTTTTAAAAGTTTTTAAGTATCCAGAAATCTTTATTATCCCTTTGACATTTTATTTTCAGCTTGAATGGCTATCAGTGTCAAAGTGGATTTTTTTTTTCAATTTCTTATTTAGGTCACTTTAGCTGGCAGTATAGGGAAAAGGAGAGAAGAAGAAAAAACCAAATCCTTTCCCTTTTCTCTCTCCTTCGCTGCTTCAGAATCTTCTTTGGGAACAATGTTACTTTTTTCTTTTTAGTTTAAATTCCAGGGTACCTTAATTGTTGCTTTTGCAGTTTAACGTGGTCAACCAAAACTTTCTCTTCTTATCTTCCTCCTGCACATTCTTTTCTGGTTGAGTTCTTCTTTGAGGTGGCCATTTCTGACCACCGCTGCAACCACCTTCAGGAAAGGGAGTAATGGCCAGCTGAGGAGGAGAGATGCGGCTCTCCTCAACCCTGCTGTCAGTCTCCCCGCTCTTCACCACCTCTACAGGGTGGCTTAGCCCTGAAACCAGCCGGCTCGGGGCACTCCAGCGGCGAGCACAGATTGAAACCGTGCACGATCGCGGTTTCGATCTGTCCATGAAGAGGCTCAGACCGGAAGTCTATCACAGTACTGCATTCTAACCACTACGCCAACATGGCTCATTTAAAGATGCCTTCTTGTGTCCCAGTTAGCAGGAAGTAGATACAATAAACCAGAAACTGGCAATACACAGGCTGAGATCCCTTGACCCACAGCATTGCAAAATCTTAAATAGAATTGTACTACAACATTACATAGAAGCATATTTTCATGAAAAATCTTGCTAAAAATAAATAAAATAAAAAATCTGAATATGTGAAATTTTAGTTGTTCATTATTCTTGAATGAAATGTCATAGATGAGACTGCTGATATCTTAAAAGACTCTGGGTGCTTTTAATATTTTGGTTTATTTATTTTATTATGGGCCCCAAACCATAGTTGAAGGATAGTTCAACAACTCCTGAAAAAAGTCATATTCTCAGCCAAACTGAAAAGAAAAACTGCACCTTGTACATATAGATATGTAGACATATACATATAGATATCAAGGAGTGAAAGAATAAAGGCTGTCCATTCAGCTCAAGGTTCTGCCTTTTTCTGTTTTATTTAATACTCAGCCTGATTTGGTAATCTTGCAATGGTGCTAAATCCTTTGTGTTTCCTACTCTAAAGTGAATCTGACAGAAAATGCCAATAGCGATTTCCAAGTGTCCCCAGGACATGAAGGTTGGCCTACAGGATCCTCCAGTCACCACAACAACCTGCTCCCAGTGCCACACAATAGTGGTACTAGTGCTCCAGGGCCCAGGTAAGCAAGCATCTTCTCAGTGTGCATGTTGTCCTAGCAGCAATACCTCAGCAGTCTCAGCAGAGCAGCCCTTCTTGTGTTCAACGTGTAAGAAAAATAGGTCAGATTTTACTATACACCACCTTTTCTCCTTTAAAGACAAATAAATAAATCAAATAAATAAATGAAATAAAACAGTTATGTTAACTTCCTAAATGACAAGGGGCAGCTTTAATTAGAAAGAATGTTTATATTTTGCTGATATAAATATCAGGCAAACACAGAGGTGGTATTCAGCAGGTTCTGACCCGTTCTGGAGAACTGGTAGCAGAAATTTTGAGTTGTTTGGAGAACCAGCAAATACCACCTCTGACTGGCCCCGCCCCCATCTATTCTCTGCCTCCCATTGAGTCCCAGGTGATTGGCTGGGTCTTCTTTTGTTGCCTTGCACAGGAGAATGGAGCTGGAAAGCAGGTATGTGGGGTGGGGAGGGAATGGGATTTGCAGTAACCTTCCCCTGGAGTGGTGTGGGAATGGAGATTTTGCAGTATCCTTCCCCTGCCACACCCATCAAGCTACGCCCACCAAGCCACACCCACAGAACCCGTAGTAAAAATTTTTGAATCCTACCACTGGGCGAACAGTCTAAGCATTTAAGACTAGTTTGTCTCCAAGGATGCAATTAAAAACTTGGTCTGGACTCAAGGGTAAAACAGGGTCTGGCCTGATTAGTACTTGGATGAAAAACCACAAGAAAATAGAGAGGCTGTAGACTAGCCTGGGAAATTGAGGAAAAATATTGTGGAAGATGATAGCAAAGTATTTCCAAACTGTTTCCAAGAAGTCACCAGGAGTTTGTCTAGATTCAAAATACACTCTAATTGTTGCAAGAAGTGTTTCACTGAAAGGACTGGTTTATCATACAACTGTGCTGTAAATTATAGCCCAGTCAGACCATTTATTCTGAAATCCAACAAAGGGAGGCTTTGGGTTAAGTTCTCAGGTAATAAGAAATATGGATAAAACAAAATGAAACAAGTTAATGTTTTGAATGCTATATTCCTTTGAACCAAGTGCAGACAATCATGTTAAAGGGTTTGTGTGGTTTTTAATTTTTTAAAAAAATAATTATTGAATCTTAGAACTTTAATAAATTGTTTCACCACAATAGGCTGAAGCACCTAAAGATGCAAGAAACTCTCCCCAACCTCGCCCTAAGTTAGAAAGAAATGAAAAATGGGCACTATATACATGCATAAAATCATAATTCTGGATTATAATAATTTCTTTGCAAGACAAATAATGCATTGAATAAAGAAATACAATTTTTAGCTACAAAATGATTATCTGTTCCTGTCATACATCAAGCAATGATAACGGTAGCTGCAAATTTCAGTTGTGGTTTTTGTGTGTGTGTGTTGCTTTGTTGCAGTCACTATCCTTGCCTCTGGACTGTCAGTAACAATGCTGTCAACGTTTCTAACCTGGCAAATGATGTAAGCAGCAGTTCTCCATTTCTGCGAAGCAGCATTGCATTGCCTGCCACATCCTCATCTGGTTTATCGGGCACAGTTGCCAGCAACATGGACACACAATTGGAACCTGCTTTCTCCAGATTAACTGATTCAACCTGGACACCTGCCACCTCTCGTTCTTTCTAGTGGGCTTTGGGAAGGAGCACATGATCACACAACAACAGAACTGGAGGCTGCCATAGCATAGGAAAAAGCCACATCTAATAAGAAATTCCAGTTTTGCACAATCTGTTCATTTTGTTAATAAAGGAATTAATCAATTATTATAACATTATTCCTCAAGAATGGATAGTAATAGATGAACTTGAAGACTTCACCAATTCATGCTTGCTTTCAAACATGAATTGGTGAAGTCTTCAAGTTCATTTCACCCCTTATAATACTGCATAGAAAACAGTATTCTTTGTGGCACAACATGTTGCTTTGAGATTAAGAGTGGCAAAAGATCATTTATGTGCAAGATGAAATTGGAAAACCAGCAGAGACCCATAGCTCTATTTGTTATAGTAGATATACTAATGGTAACCAAAGAGAAGGCAAGTACAGTCATCTTTCTGATTCTGACTCAGTCACTTCTGTCTTGACATACCTTTTTTCCTAGTGGAAGGAAGAAAATGAAATTCGAAAGAAATTCCAAAAGGCAAGAATTTAATCCCCAAAAGTTTGCTTGCCTCTGCACACATTCAATTTGTCATGCCAAGGAAAAGAGGGAAAAAGAGGGAAGGATACAGGGCTGCTATTGATTTCAACTTATTTCAGGATACAGCAATTCTGTCTAATTGGATTATTGCTCATGACAGAGAAGATATTACATCTCATTAATTTTCTTAAATCTTCATAAAAGGAAATTAGCTTTCTTCAGAATGTTCAGAATGTTTATAAGAGTGTCCAAAGGAGTAACAATATTTTTCTTTGAACTAATTCATTAGAGAAAAGCTATCCAATCCATCATCATTGTTTTTTGCCCTTCCATTGTAGGCTGTCAATCTTTAGTAGTGATGATAACTCTACCCAGCATCCCTATTGGCGTCATATAAATGTGTAGGAATAATCATTAAAAAAAAAAAAAGGAATATTGTATTTTTTGTTGCATTTTCACTGACATCCGATGGGACTTCATTTGATCCACTCTGCTGGCTGGAAGTTCTTGTTGTTTCACATTCTTGGTAAATGTTTTATGCTGTAGTTTTTCTGTGCCATTTTGGCTTACCTGAACAGTGCTCATATAGACAATTGTGTATGTGACCCCAGAAGGACAGTTGACATTTCTGTGACTCAATCATTTCTGATAAACAGAAAATTTCAGCAACCACATAACTGAATTAATAATGAATGAATAAAATTAATCATATGGATTACATGTGTGATTCTTTTAATATGTTCTCATACAAAAAGGAAAAAGCATGACTTAGATTCTTCTTCAATGTTACTTTATTTTCTGTGTAATGTTTATTAAAAGTACCACTCATAAAATTACCACACCACTATAAGGAGTGCACTTCAACATCAAACATGACACATAAAACCAAGAGATTTTATGTACCTCAGTGGTCCTGAGAATTAACTAATGTTGACTGGAAGAAATAATTTTAAAATCAATTTGGTGGGGGATTATTACATTGATTAATTATACTCAATTATTTTTAAAATGAAAATTGCAGATAGCCCTCAACTTACATTTGTTTAATGAGCATTTAAAGTTATAGTGATACTGAAAAAAGTGACTTATGATCAATTTTCACACTTACGACCATTGCAGCATCCCCATGCTCACTTGATCAAAATTTAGGCAATTGGCATTTATTTTATGACAATTGCACTGTTTTCGGATCATGTGATTATATTTCTTACTTTCCCAGTGGGCTTTAGACAAGCAAAGTTCAATGGAAGAAGCCAGATTTGCTTAAGGACTGCTTGATTCACTTGATAACTGCAATGATTCACTTAACAACTATGGCAGAAAAGTTGTAAAATGGGGTGAAACTCAGTTAACAACCGTCTTACTTAACAATGGAAATTTTAGATTCAAAAGTAGTTGTAAGTTGAGGATTCAACTGCAGTGGTGGGATTCAATTTTTTGTACTACCGGTTCTGTGGGCGTGGCTTGGTGGGAATGGCAGGGGAAGGATATTGTAAAATCTCCAGTCAGAAGTGGTATTTGCCGGTTCTCTGAACTACTCAAACTTTCCGCTACTGGTTCTCCAGAAGTGGTCAGAACCTGCTGAATACCACCTCTGATTACTTGTATTGATTTCAATTTTCCATTATTTAGAAGTTAATATTTCCTTTAAAAAACCTGCTGCAAAAGATACAATTTGCCAAGTCTACGGAGTATTTCCCCATCCCTTTTGGGGAATTAATAAGAAAAATGTCCCGCCTCTAAATTGATAAGAACTCCACTGCTACTTGTGGTAGAATACCAATAACCACACTGATATACAGACAGGACCACACAGAGTAATTATAAATAACACTAAGCTATTGAACGGACTGAGATGAATCTCCTTGTGTCCGTGGTGGGATTCAATTTTTTTTTACTACCAATTCTGTGGGCGTGGCTTGGTGGGCGCAGCAGGGGAAGGTTACTGCATAATCCCCGTTCCCTTCCCATTCTAGGGGAAGGATACTGCAAAATCCCCATCCCCTCCCCACCCCACTAACCTGCTTTCCAGCTCCATTCTGCTGTGCAGGGCAACAAAAGAAGGCCCAGCTAATCAGCTGGGACTTGGGAGGCAGAGAATAGATGGGGGCAGGGCCAGTCAGAGGTGGTATTTGCCAGTTCTCTGAACTACTCAAAATTTCCACTACCAGTTCTCCAGAATACTACCTGAATGCTACCATTGCTGAGTGGGTCAAAGAACTTCATTAAACATGTAGCTTATTTCTAAAGCTTAGTACAGCATGTATTTCAGTAATCCCACCCCCCTTGCAAAAATAGTCACAGGAACAGTATTTCTGGGCAACTTACCTGTTCCCTCCACCTTGCAGTTCCTCATTCAGTCCCTTCTGTCCCATCAACCTTACAAACCAAGGGCATCTCAACAGGTGCTGGTCAGAGACTGAGAGGAGTTGCCAAAGAGATGCCAGAACACCCAATTGGACAATGTGACCTGTAAACATGAGGGAGGGAATTATCTATTCTTTAATTATCCTGAAATTGCAGGAAATATTTAGAACTGGTTTTGTTTTCATTTGTGCTGAAATGATGTACTCAATAAAACAGCTCTGAGAAAACTGAAAGTCTCTAAACCTTGACAATGGGTTAGTGTGGGCTGTTGTTCAATAAACATGCTTTTTTAATTTGCCTTAATTTCCTCTGCGGATGAGGATATCCAGGATATTGTTTTCTTCATCCGTTGTGAATTTTCTTTGACTATGTTGTTGATTGTTTTAAGCGTTTTCTCCAGAGTATGGCTCTGGTATGTAGATGCTACTTAGTTGTAAAAAAGGAACAACAGCTGAAGCCACAGTGAGGGCAAAATACACCAGAGCTTGCAGCAACTGGGAAAAACCGTCATCAGGCTGTTAGTCCACTTGTAAGATAAAGAAATATAAGAACTCAACCTAGCGCTCGTTGTGAGGGAAGACATAAAAAGAAACAAAAGGAATCTTTTGGAAAGGACCGTATTAAGCATGAGAAAAATTTAATCTAGATATTGAAATGAAAATAATAAAATTAAAAATACTAATAAAACAATAAAATTATTGAAATTATAGGCAAGTAGAATAATTGCTGTAGTAAATCAATATAGAAATGTAATCTAATCATATACATATAGATATTTATTTAAATATAAAATATATACTCGGCTGTAGAGCAAGATTGGCATAAATTTTGATAGTGTAATTATAGGCAGGGATGGGATTCTACCAGTTCGCACCTATTCACTAGAACCGGTTGTTAACATTCTAAGCAGTTCAGAGAACCGGTTGTTAGAAGAAATTACTGGCCTAATCCTGTAAGGAAGGCAGGAAGGAAACATTCTGGTGTTGCTTACAGAAACTGCCTCTCTGTTAATCCTTATTACATTCTTGACAGGACTAGACTTCCTGTCTCAGGAACTTCTCTGGAATTTTTTCCCCCTCTTTTGCTGGTACTTTGCTTGTGTGGAGTGACCATTCAAAGTTACAATGGCACTGAAAAAAGTGACTTATGACCATTTTTTCACACTTACGACTGTTGCAGTATCCCCACAGTCATGAGAGGCCAGGCAAGGAGATGCGTGCCTTGATGATATTGAGTTGGCCACACCCAGCCAAAAAGCCACGCCCACCACTTAAGCCACACCCACAGAACCGGTTGTTAAAAAATTTGAATCCCACCCCTGATTATAGGGTCATAAACATTAGAACAGGTTCAAAAAAACCCCAAAGGCTCAGACAAGCAAATCTTAAGAAGAGAGATTGAGAGTAAAAACAATCTCAGTTTTTAAATAATAACACAGATTACATTGGAGGATTTCTAGTATTCAAATGTTTAAAGATAATCTCTGCAATTTAGGGGCTGACATCAGTGGTATGACTATTCATAAAGTGTCATTTCTGCAGACAGAAAGTGAAAATTGGGACATATTATGGCTGGTTTAATTTTTAATTAGCATGGCTGATTGACCAGTTATATGATTTGTAAACAATTTGATCTTAAGTAGTCTTTATTCAAACTAAGTTAGATTTTATATGTAATTGCTTTTTACCAACTTGGTTCTATTGATATAGGAATTGTAAAATGGAAGTTGTTTGTAATCCGGGGGCCTAATCTTGCTCTATACTACAGGTATTTCAGTTCAAAGAAATGCTATTTTAAGATTCACATTTTATTGTAACATTTTGGACACTAGATGGCAGCCTTGGTCTAAAAATCCCAAGAACAATGCTATCATTTAGTTAATAACAATTTTTCTACTCATGCCTTGGTAATAGGTTCCTTTGGAGAATTAATAATAACTGATTTTAAAAGTCTATACAACTACTGGACATATATTATCTAGTTTTTCCTCAGTCATGGAAACAGATCAGTTATGATTTGATTGACCCAAATGATTGCTGTATTCTGAAATGTTTTATGTGGTTCTCATATTTAACAGCAGGCTTTTTAAAAAATGCTTTAGCTGAAAGCTATGTCTTCACTGATCGATTTTTGGATGTCATTTGTTCC